GCTCCCTTTCTTGGTACCCATCTCTCCCTGCGCTGTATCTCTCCTGTATGAAGACGATTGGGGACGAGTCATGGGCATGTCCCATTAATTCTGCAACCAGGGTTCATACGGGTCCTGGAAAATCTAAAAACTCCTGGAATTTTATTGTGGCATTTTCCAGGACTGGAAAGTCCTGGAAAAGGGCTTCTGGCCCTGGAAAGTTCTGGAAATCTGTTAAACTTAAGTAAAAAAATATGAAATGTATGGCAGACAGTAAGGAGAATTAACATTAAGATCTTGGGGGTGAAAGGGTTAATGTGAATTTCAGAGTCCTGGAAAAATCAATCTGAGTCCTGGAAAAGTCCTGGAAATTTGTTTCTGAAGAAGGGTTCAAACCCTGTGTAACCCCGAGGTACGAGCCACCCCCGCCCCCCCTCCCTCTTCCAAAATCCTTGATCGACCCTTGCTGGTTCTGGCTTAATGTTTGTGTAAATGAGAGATTTTGTCCCCACTTCTTATCCGGACACACATGGTGATTAAATTGGGTGGGTTGGACAGCGAAGCCACTGTCCCATTTAATCGGTGTCAATACTTACTAGGTGTTTCTAAGATTCGAAAACTAAGTGCACCAAAGCCGGAAAAGAAATCCCCGAAAAACCAGCGGGTGGAAAAAATAAGGGAAAGTGTGCCCCCGACCAAGGTAGTGGTGCCACCCTTGGGGTTTTAGGGTATCCTAATTAAATGTAGTGTACACAAATGTAGTAAACTACAGTGATGTAATAAAATGACAGCACTAAAAAAATATATACAGTTTGAAAGTCACGACTGTGCATAACCAAGAATAGGAAAACAAACTTTACAACTGTATACGCTGAAGGCTGACCACAGAATGTCTCGCCTTGCTAATGGCAACTAACTGCTGAACACTGCGTACCTCGAACCTGCCCCGATCCCTCTGCTCTGTGCCAGCAAAATAGTAATTTATGCTAGCTCAGGATTATCAAAGTACATTTTCCATTTGCCCTCTTGTTGAAGCTGCCTCTGGGTGACCATTTTTAATAAGAATATTTCTTACAAGAAAACCGTAAACATATGAAATGTTAACCTGTATAATCCTTTATACTTTTACCTCTGTCATATGACCTTTAACCAAAACGCATTCATGAATAATAGACCAAACAAAACAACTATTGAGAATTATACTGAGACTATTTTTTTATTCAAATCATCTGTACAATGTTTAACTAATGAAACAATTTCTTTTTC